AATTTGTGGTGGTCTACTTGGATGACATTGTGGTATATAGCCAAACATTGGAGGAACACCTGAAGCACTTGCGGAAGGTCCTAACTCGATTGCGGGAGCATGAACTATATGTGAAGCTATCTAAGTGCTCATTTTCTCAAAAACAAATTGACTTCCTAGACATGTCATCGAGGAAGGGCGGATTAAGATGGACCAGCAGAAGATTCGGGCAATCACAGATTGGCCGCTGTCTAAGGATATCTACGCCTTGAGGGCGTTCCTTGGTCTATGCAATTTCTATCGGCGATTTGTGAAAAACTACTCCCTCATTGCAGTACCATTGACAGAACTCCTCAAGAAGGTCACGCCTTGGGAATGGGGACCCAAGCGAGCGGAGGCCTTCAACGCATTGAAAGCGGCTATGTCTAGTAGCCCCGTCTTGGCCCTTCCTGATCTGGCCAAGCCATTCGAAGTACAAACAGATGCATCTGACTATGCCCTCAGTGGAGTCTTGCTACAAGAAGGGCATCTTATAGCGTACGAGAGTCGGAAGCTAAAAGATGCAGAGCGGCGCTATGTCGCCCATGAGAAAGAATTATTGGTTGTCATCTACTACTTGCGCCTCTAGAGGCACTATCTGCTGGGGACCCCGTTCGTGGTCAAGACAGACAACACAGCTGTTAGCCATTTAATGGCCCAGCCGAAGTTGAGTGGTCGACAGGCCAAGTGGCAGGAACTCCTAGCTGAATTTCACTTCAACCTGGAGTACCGAAGTGGGAAAACCAATCATGTTGCTGATGCGCTCAGTCGGAGAACTGATCTAGCATCGGTGTGCCTACTCGCCACCCTAAGGGGGAGCGAAATAGCCACCTCCATCAAGGACCAGATACAGGATTTACTCATCAAGGATCCTACAACACAGTATTTGGTTGATTTGGTAGGACAGGGTAAGACTCGCCAGTTCTACATGGAAGAGGGTTTCTTGAAATAAAAGGGAACTGACTTTATGTTCCTAAAGGAGGAGATCTACGAAGGACACTTCTGGCTGAATGCCATGATACTCTGTGGGCCGTACATCCCAGTGAGGAACGAACCATGGCGTTACTTCGCCGTGCATATTATTAGCCTCAAATGGCTGATGACGTTGCTCAGTATGTGAAGACTTGTCTAGTATGCCAGAAGGACAAGTCGGACCGCTTAACATAAGCGAAACTCTTGGAACCACTAGCTGTCCCAAAGAGACCTTGGGAAAGCGTTTCCCTGGATTTCATCACCGGATTGCCCAAGGTCGGAGATCTCACAACTATCTTGGTTGTGGTAGATCGGTTTCCCAAGTATGCTACCTTTATTGCTGCCCCATAATATATATCAGCAGAAGATACAACTCGACTCTTCTTCTCTCATGTCGTCAAATATTGGGGCCTGCCCAAAGACATTGTTAGTGATCGCGACTCACGCTTCACTAGTAACCTTTGGACCCAACTCTTTATGTGCCTTGGTCAAAGCTGAGTCACAGCTCAAGTTTTCATCCGCAATCTGATGGCCAGACGGAGCGGTTCAATGGTATATTGGAGGAATATCTTCGTCACTTTGTAACCGGATCGTAGAAGAATTGGGTGAAGCTTCTAGATGCTGCTCAACTGTGTTCATTCATAAAAGCTCTAGTACAAACAAAAGCGCTTTTGAAATTATTACTGGACAGCAACCGCTACTCCCACACACAGTCAATGCCCCAAATATATCTAAATCTCCTCGAGCTGCTAGCTTCTCAAAAGAGTGGAAGCGAAATTTGGAGATAGTGCGGAGCTATCTTGTCAAGGCTAAAAAGCGGATGAAGAGGCATGCTGATCAAAATCGTCGCTTTGTTGAATACCAAGTAGGAGACAAAGTGATGGTCAAATTTCCAAAGCGGTACTTATTTGCGGGGGTCCATGATCCTCGCCTATTGCAAAAATACATTGAACCCTTGTCCACTGAAAGGCGCATTGGTAAAGTTGCATACCGGGTGGATACCCCAGCTTGGTGGAAAATTCATTCTGTCTTCCATGTCAGCCTCCTGAAACCTTTTCGGGAAGACATGGAGGATCCTTAATGGAGCCAGCTCACAATACCCAGTATTCGAGGGCCCAATTCAACCGAAAAAAGGTGTATTGAAGCTATCCTTGATGATAGAGTGATTCATGCCTCAAGGAAAGATGACCAAGATTCTTGGTAAAATGGCAGCGCTGTGATGTAGAGAAGAACACTTGGGAGAGGGGAACAAACCTCAAAGCCTACAAGAGCCTAATTGAAGATTATCTTGCAAGTAAGGCGCCGAGGACATTGCCAACTCAGGTGGCGGAGAATGTCATGGGCGGCCTTCCAGCCGTGCCCCATGACCCCTTGGGCGCACCCCGTGGCGTCCTAGCAAGCCTCCCAATGCCTAGCGCCACGGACAGCCCCGTGGTCTTGGCCGCGCCAAGTGACAAGCGCGCATGTGCCTCTGTCGCCCCACCGATATCCCTGGCCAGCGCCCAACCGCAAGCGGATGCCAACAGCGCCGCGCGCGCAGACCCTGATGCCAAAAACTATGCTGCTGACAACGGACCTGTTTCTGCCTTGTAGAAAACTAAGTCCTTTTCATTGTAAATAATGAGTAGTTTTATTCCATGTACTTCCATTATGTTTCTCTAAGCTTAATCAAGTCTAGTCTTGTAGCTTTGGTTTATTTTTTTTAAGTATTGTTAGGGGGGGTCAAGCAATCAAACTTTCTAGCAAGAAAACAATTCTCTGTACTGGTGTCTCTCCCTTTCGACACCGCGTTGCTTTTCTGTAATAGATTTCATTAATGCAATCAAGCTTTTCTGTTCTCTCAATTGCTCTCGACATTGGTTTTCCCGTACGGCACTGACAATCTAGTCTAAGCGTAAGGAGGGGACCTCAGTTGGCGGACAGTAACTACACTGACATCAGTTGCTTAGCCTTACGTCGCCCTTCTAAGGAATCTCAGGAAGGCACCGCGTAACAGTCAGGACGTGTCAGGACGGCGCAGGACATGGCCATGGCACGAGTCAGGACGTCTCAGGACATGGCCATGGCACGTGTCAGGACGGCGCAGGACATGGCCATGGCACGAGTTAGGACGTGCCAGGACGTCGCAAGACATGGCCATGACACATTTCAGGACGTGTCAGGACGGCGCAGGACATGGGCATGGCACGAGTCAGGACATGGCAAGACATGGCCATGGCACATGTCAGGACGTGTCAGGACGGCGCAGGACATGGCCATGGCACGTGTCAGGACATAGCAGGACATGGCCATGGCACGTGTCAGGACATGGCCATGGCACGTGTCAGGACATGGCCATGGCACGTGTCAGGACGTCGCAGGACATGGCCATGGCACGTGTCAGGACGTGTCCTGCCATGTCCTGCGACGTCCTGACACGTCCTGACTCATGCCCAGAACATCTAAGGGCATCACAGGACTTAGATGTCCTGAACATGCCCAGACAGGATATATATTACAAATTTTCCTCTTTATCCATCGATCTTTAACCAACATACCCTCTCTTGACTATACTCTTCCTTACTCGCTCGAGTATTACAACATATGTTCTATCGTGTAAGCCTTTTGATGGCTCTATCTCGACAGTGGCCGAGATACTTGTCGCTATTACGCTTCGTGAGTACGACTATGACTTGGTTGACCCCTTACCATTCTTTTTAATGATGACTCACTTGTGGTTAGATTTTGACCCATACATTTTCCAATAGCCGTTAAACAAAATTTGGATTGGAGTTTCCTTTTGGAATCAAAAATGTAATCGGATAGTTGTAACCTTTTCAAAAAAATAAAAACTTCATGTGTTTTGAATAAAAAAATATATTCTTTGAAAGGCACATTTAAACCACAACCTCGAAAGCCAGTCGTTGCAAATTAGATTTTGTCAAGAAACGCTTCATAAAGCTTATATACACACTAATTTGTAAGTTGAAACACCAACTAAATTGTTACATGCAGGGGTTCAAACTTCAAAGGAAGGTGCTAACAAAAGTTTGTTTTTAAAGTCTAAGGGGGTGTTTGGATTAGCTTTTAAGTTGGTCAATCAGCTTTTAAACTCTTTTTAGTTTTTTTAGTATTTAGCAAAATTAAAAAATTCTTACAATAAGTTTAAAACTGCTTAAACAAGCCAAAAGCAACAAGTTGGCAAATCCCAACTTATTACTTTTTAATTTAAAAACTATTTTTGATAAAAAATTTTTATTGTTTTTAAGCAAATCCAAACGGCCTCTAAACCTCTTTTGATAGTTCCTCCAATGTTTGCCAAAAGTTGTATGGACATGCATTTTATAAATTACATTTGAAAGACAAAATTTAGAATGTAATAGTGGTAATTTGATGGATATAAACACCACTAATTGAAAACAAAAAACACAAATCGTATTGAAAACAAAAAACAAATCGTATTTTACAAGGCTCCAATTGAAAACAAAAAACAAATCGTATTTTACAAGGCTCCAATTGAAAACAAAAAACAACCAGAGCCAACTCCCAAATCGTATTTTCCTCTATAAGATCTCTATATAATCTATTATTATGTTATTTATATATTATTTTGTATAAATGATATATATAAACTAAAATTATGGGTAAAATCAATGGATGAGCCATAACTAGGAATCTTCATATTGGGCCTGGGGCCTCAGCCCAAGTTTCCCTTTTCCCGATATGAATTCATTTTCTCTAATCGCCACTCATCTCGTAGCCGGGCAATGAAAGAGTCCGCTTTCGCGTTAACATCCGGGCTCGGGCAAATAACCGACGGCCCGGTTAAATCTTCACCGTCGATTGCCTCCGAGGACGATCTGACGGACACATCATCAACGTCAACATCTTCAATTTCCGGCGAGCTGCAGCGAGAGCTGTGCTCGCTCCGTATCCTGAAAAAATCACTGGAAGGAACGAACTTCATCTCCCGCATTTTGAATAGCGGAGGAGGAGGCGGAGGCGGCATTGGTATTAACGGCGATTGTGACCCATTGTTCAAGTTATCGTCATAGTAACTGGTGACTGGTCTTGTTGGCAATGGAGGTTTGCTGGAATATGATGAACGTCGACGTGGAGGTTCCGGTTGTTGCATTGGTGGTTGAGAATGTGTTGAAGTTTTTCTCCGCCTTGATGACACGTGTGCTTGCGGTGGAGGTGGAGGAGGAGGTGGAGGAGTTGATTTGAATCGCCTGCTTGTGGTTCCGTGTTTGAACAAATTGTTGAGAATTGAAGAAGGTGGCGGCGGAGGAGGAGGAGGCGGTGGAGGAGTTGATGATGATGTTTTGTGAAATCGTTTGCTTTTGCTGCCGGTTTTGAACAAATTGTTGAAAATTGAATTTGGAGGCGGCGGCGGAGGTGGAGGCGGCGCTGCTGTTGCTGCAGTGGAAGGATCGGAATGTACACGTTTACTTTTCCTATTTTTCTTGAACANAGGTTTTGGAAAACTTTAGACGGCGGCGGAGGAGGTGGCGGTGGCGGTGTTGGTGGTGGCAGGACTGATTTTGAAGGTGGAGAATCAGAGACGCTCTCAAAAATATCTCTCTTCTTTGTTCTCTTCTTTTTCTTCTTACTCTGATTGTACAATGAGGCAATAGCTGTGGCTAATTCCTTTGTACCACTCTTTCTCCTCTGAAGCTTTTGAGGCTTTTCCACCGGAGGTGATGGCTGCTCGGTTAGCGGCGGCGATGACGGCAATGATGTCGGTGGTGAAGGCTCTTGTTTTTCGTTGAGCTTTACATCAGCTTCATTACTCTGCATTTGAACCTTGTCCTTGCGCGGAACACTATGAAATGATCTTCTCCGTTTCAAATTTGCCGGCGGTGGCTTCGATGACGACACCGTAGGTTTTTCCGGCGACGGACTCTGTTCTGGTGGAGATGAACGAGTTTCAAATGTATCCACAGGAATTACCTTAATATCAGATTCTTCCCTCTGACTCTCGCTCCGCCGTGGACGGTGACTCTCATACTCCGCAGCTGCCGTAGAACGGGAAAAATTCACTCCAAAATCATCAAAAAACCTGGAATGGTTCTCACCGGTTTCCCATTGCGGCACTTGTCTCAGATCAGGATACGAGCTACTGCTTCTTCTTAACCGGTTAACACCAGTTTCATGTAACCCAATTGGAGCAAAATTGTAAGCTTTCTCAACACTCTGCTCAAACCATTGATCATTAGAAATAGACTGCCGCCTATCATCAGCTGAAGTTTCACTTGTTGAAACAATTCTATTTCTTTGATTGGTAGAAACAGTACTGTTATCAGCTGAATTGTCATCATTTTTGCGGGCAAAAACGCCGCAAAGAATAGCAAAAACAACAAGCAAGATATTAAACGAATCCCATCCTTTTTTCACAGAATTAGGCCGAAGAATTTGAGTAGTGTGTGAAAGGAAAGGAGGAACCAAAAAGAACAAGATGAGAATAGTAAGAATGGGTAGAAGTAGAATTAGAATAACGGGGTTGATAATAGGAGGAGAGGGTGGTTGTCGGCGGCGTTGACGGAGGAGTGTGGTGGTGGAGGGTTGGGACCAGTAAGGTGGAGAGTCTCCATCCAATTCCATAGTTATTATTTTTTGCTTTAGAGGGGCAGAAGAGAAGGCTTTAAAGGCTTTTTGGGAGGGAGAGGGTGGCCTTCATTAATGATGATTGATGAGCAGAATTTATAGATTAATGTTTTGGGTTAATTGAATATATTTATTGAACTCATTTGCTTTGATATCTTGGCTGTGTGCAGAAGTGCTCGGAGCCTTTATTAATCATTTGCATAATTATTTGTTTTTTCAAAAAACAAATAAGTACTAGCTAAGTTTTGGATAATTTAAATAAAATAATACTACAAAAGTTAAGAATTTGAGTTGTATTCTCTAAGTAGTAAAATTTATTTATAAATGGAATGCAAGCTAGATGTTCTTTTTCCTTTTAATGTGTTGGCGGGAGGTAGCAGCTAAGCTAGCATTTGAACATAAAATTGATTGAAACTTGAGAAAGAATTTTTGAAGTTGTGTTAAAAATAATTTTCGAAGTTGTGTTTGAACATGCATTTTATTTAAAAAAAAGTTAAAGTTTGTGAGCAGGAGAAAATTTCAGCCAAAAATTATCATAAACCAATTTTTGGGAACTTGACAAAACTTTTCAATTTTTTTTCTTCAAAAAACTGATCAAATTCTATGAACAAACAATGTTATCAAAGTTTTTTTGAAAAAAGAAAAAGTCAAAATCTATGGGTCCTAAGTATATTCAGTGAAATGGTAAAGGTGTTCGTAAATTGATTGAAACATTACTGTTTTCATAAAACAATAACTTTTATGAACGGTGAACAAATGATCTACAAGCGCTTTTCTATATTTTTACCCGAATCACATAATTTTGAAACACATATGTAACATTGAACATAAACTTTTGTAATGCGACTACATTGTATATCATAATTAAGTTTGCATAATTGATGTTGATGACTACGTATTATTACAACGAACCAAGGAAGACTACAATTTAGTTTAGTAATGCACATCAAAACATAGTTTCATCTCCATTATATTTCGCAGCTCATTAAATAAAAAAGACTTGGAGAATCTATCGGAGACAATCTCTTTACCTTCTTAAAGTAGAGATTTATAGCCTGTTTGGCCAAGTTTCTTTTTAGCCAAAAGTGCTTTTTTGGGCCAAAAGTACTTTTGGCCAAAAATTGCGGTATTTGGCCAAGCTTTTGGAAGGAAAAAAAGTGCTTTTGAGGAGAAGCAGGAGCAAAAAAAAGTAGCTTCTCTCCAAAAGCACTTTTTTGAGAAGCACTTTTGAGAAAAATACACTTAGAAGCAGTTTTTTAAAGTTTGGTCAAACACTAATTGCTGCTCAGAAGTGCTTTTCAAACTAATTAGTCAAACATAAACTGCTTTTTACCAAAAGTACTTTTAAAAAAAAGCATTTTTCAAAATAAGCTGATTTTTGCAGTTTGGCCAAAGGGACTATTAATTTGGTTTGCGTACACATTGTCCTTTGCAAAAAATCTACTTATAAAATTACATTGGACTTGTCATTATTATTGTTGTATTAAACAAATATTTGGTGGAGTTTGCGCCAAGGGGTCTAATCATATAGAAAGAAAATGACCATTCCATATGTCCTTTGTTGAAGGGGGGTTGGTTTAAACTTTAAAGCTTCGGTAGGTTACCTGATAATCTGTTTAAGCATGCAGCCTATACCTAATGTCCCTTGCAATCTACATTAAACTAAATTCTAGCAAAAGAAAAGAAAAAAAAAAACTTAACTTTTTGCTCAAATATTATGCATAAATGTTCACCATCAAGACATGTTGTAGGATGCAGCGGCAGAGCCACATACAAGGAAGAAGAATCAATTGAATTTCCTTCATTTGAAAAATTATTGTTAATATGATAAAAATAGATTTTTAAGCATGTATAAATTTTGAATCCCATTAATATAACATCAAGAAAAAGACCCAAAATATCCTTGAACTATTTGAAATAGCTCAAAAGTACCTTCCGTTTATTTTGGTATCAAAAATATCCCTGCCGTCTATGTTTTGGACCACAAATGCCCCTTAAACTATTAGTCTTGCCATTGAAGTTGACATGGCAGTCCAATTAAGTTAGATTTGCTTACATGGTCATTCACCTAAGCAATCCAGCATGGCAAAAAATTTATTCTTTGTTCTTGAATCCTAATCGCAAAAAAAAAAAAAAAAAAAAAAAAAAAAAAAAAAAAAAAACTTATTTATCATCTACTTCCTCTGTTTCAATTTATGTGAACCCATTTGACTGAGCACGGAGTTTAAGAAAAGAGAGAAGACTTTTTAACGTGTAGTGTAAAATGAGGCACATANTTGAGATTAGGATTCAAGAACAAAGAATAAACTTTTTGTCATGCAGGATTGCTTAGGTGAATGGTCAGGTAAGCAAATGTAACTCAATTGGACTGTCATGTCAGCTTCAATGGCACGACTAACAGTTTAAGGGGCATTTGTGGTCCAAAACATAGACGACAAAGATATTTTTGGCACCAAAAACAAACGGAAGGTATTTTTGAGCTATTTCAAATAGTTCAAGGACATTTTTGGCCTTTTCCGATATAATATCATAGATATGCAAGTTGAAATCTCAAACGTGATATTTAAAAAAAATGAATCTTCTTTTTAAATTTCTAGCGTTGTTACAGATGGAATGAATGAAATTCTTCCACCCTTAGCGAGAGATCTTGAGTTGCGAATGAAGAAAGTTTTGATAAGAGGCGTCTCCCCTCTAACCGAGTCGAACACAACACAAATTTAATTAGCGGGATCCAATGCGGAGGTAGGATTTCCATTAAGGAGGTTCAAAAAAGAAAATATTAAAAAATTAAAAGAGACAATGACGAGTGGAAATTGATTGAATCAGTCACCTCACAAAGATTTTGAACCCCCTTGACCACTAAGCTATACTTTTGGGCTATGTTTAAGGAGATTCAAAATATAATATATAAAGATACAAAATAGATTTCGCTTGCGCTGGGAGTTCGGGTGAAATCCCTTCCGTCCCGAATCCGCCCTGGCCCTAGTGGGATGTGTTAGCTCCACCAATATTTTTTTAAAAACAAAAAACCCGAGATGGCAAACAATTGGTCAGTGGGAGCCCTTATTCCCGGGAGGAATACGTATGTGGTACTCTTATTACAGTGAAGAAACAGAAATTGGCGGAAAATTTTATGTTGTGTCTTATAACACTAGTTGTACGAGGCAATTTTTTTGTCTCACAGTTTTAGTTTTGTGTACTCAGATTTCTGTGGATCCAGAAGTGTAAGATTGGGGTCCACAAATTATGAGACAAAAAGAAGTCTCATACAATCCGTGTCAGTTATACGAGACACAAAATAAAACTTCTCGTAATAGACAGTTGAGGTGAGGAATAGTTTGAGAATGGAGCGTGGCTATAATGATTGAAGTTCCAAAACTTTTTAACATGAAAAATACCAAAGGACACCTTTAAATCAAGTAATTGATCTGCTCGAACTTTGTCTAAATAATGAAGAAAAGGACACCCCTTTTGGTCCCCTCTTCACTTTTACCCATCTCTTCATATTTCTACCATTGCCTCGGCACATTACACTTTAAAATGTTCTTCCTTTTACTTTCTATCTTACTATGCATAGAGGGGGAGACCATATTTAAAGATTATGAGTTTAAAGATTTTAGTTATTTTAAGTTACTGAGTTTTAAATTAATAACTTGTGCATATTTAAAAAATATTTTAAGACAAATATAGAATTTGGACAAAAATTACTGGCCGAAATGTTTGGCATATATATAATTCCTCCTTTTACTTTTTCCATCTTACTCGGCATTTTATCCTCCCATGCAGCCTATTTTTTCAACTATTCTAGTTTTATGAACCGTTTTAAATCCATTGCATGGTAGATCATATAATATACTTCGTTATTTTATGTGACACATTTTTCATTTTAATTGTGCCAAAAAATAATAATTGTCTTACCACCATATTTTGCTATTATTAATGCTTATTTTTCTTATGTTCTTGAGTCCAGGGTCTACCGGAAATAACATTCTCTATCTTCACAAGGTAAGAATAAGGTCTGCGTACACACTACCCTTCCAGATTACACTTGTGGGATTATGCACACTGAATTTGTTGGTGTTGTTATTTGTTTGAACTCACTTGATATAATTAAAAAATTATTCTTTTAGTATGAGAGAAAATAAACCGATTATGTGAAACTCTCACCACTCTTTATTTAATTGTGAAGAATTATTGGTTGTATGGGCAATTTTGATACTTTGTAATGCCAAAAGTCTTCTTATATATCAAAAGTTTTCTTTTATTTCTTAAACTTTTGCTAAATCAAATATAACATATACTGAGATAGAGGGAGTAAAATAAATTACAATCATTCATGTATCAAAACTAGAGCATGATGAATGTAAAGTGTAATACTGTAATCCAATATAAGATTGACTCTTGAGCTGCGGCGAAGCCATCTTTATAATCAGTTGATCATCCTTCGTCGAAATATGACGAAAAATTACATTGTGTGTATAAGTAAAATATTAATTTTAGATATATAAAACATATATTGAACACCTTTTGTCGATATTATTTTTTTAATTCTTATAAGTCTGAACACTTTTGAAAAAATTTCTCGCTTCGTCATTGCTCTTGAGGCGTTTACAAGTCCAGTTTTAGTACTTAGGTTAAATCTTACAAGATTCACTTTTTTCTGATAATACATTAAAAATTGTTCAACTGACGCGACGACTCTTCTTTAATTTCAATAACTTGGTCTTTGATTGATACCTGTGAGGGACAAAAATCTTTTTCAGTGGGTGGGAACTTGTAACGCAACTTGAAATTAAGTGTTTTACCATTTAATTCTGCTTTTAATGCTGTATAGAAATGCAACTCATCAAAGAACTGCCAAAGTACTTTTTTTCCCCTTTAAAGATTTGCACTTTTGCTTTTATATATAGATAGAATTTTTACAATTCCACCTTTTCAAGTTAGTGCAGCAATGTTCATGCACATTTTTTCGGCGTTTTCCTTAATAAAGTATTTCC